ATGAGTCTGGTAAGCACCTGAGTGTGCGTACTAGTGCTATAGGTTGACTGTAGCACATCATCGTTTTGGGAGAGAGTTTTACAACCAGCTGTGACCCTACCTGTGCATTATACAGCTCACCTTTCAGTAGCTCTGAGCCAGAGATCCCTTCCTGCTGCCTTTTTATTAGGAACAGTACATAGAGGAACAGCAAAAGGCAGTCTTCACTTGAACAGGTTAAAACAGTCGGTAGTATGGCTTGGATGAGCCTCTAACCTAATTCACTTGGTCTCAACAAGACGTAGATGACCGGCCTGGGTCTCACTACCCGTGGTCCTGAGATGAAGCAGAGATTGAGATCCACTAACTGACAGAAAATGAGTCCTTACTTTTATGACTAAAGATATGGAAAATGTTGATTATATGATTATACCTATTGCTTAATGTTTACATCTCAAGTAAGGATCAAAATTTCAACATGTATTTTTAAAAATAAAATTTTAATCGGTGGCTAAAACATATCTTTTTCTTGAATTACGATAGTCCTTTTCCTGTCATTTCAGCTCACAGACCTAGATGCAGTCAGTCCCGAAGCCATGCGAGTTGTTCTATACGGAGCAGAGTCCATTGGAACTGGCTTCCTTTTCTCAACAGCTCTGGAGACAAGCCACCTGCCCAAGGGTCTAGACTATTTCAGACCGGTTCCTGAAGAACTGTGCTGAGAACGTAAGAATGACCTTGATGGAACCCATGACTCCACCAAGGCCATGGTCCTCATTTCCCCGAGCTCTGCATGGAACCAGATTAGCCTCCGAATGTGGCAGATGTCCCTCCGTGCTTGGCCATTTCAGGTTACAGACTCCGTATGAGTAAATACTCTGTTCATCGAGCCCTTGTATGAGTTCCTAACTAGAAAATTATGACACCGACAGGAACCAAATGGTTGAAAGGGGTTTTACTTTAATCTGCGTGAAATCTGAAACTTTTTTTTTTTTTACATGAACTTGGAATTTTCACCAAGTATCACTTCACATTTATTAGGAACTGAATAGCAAACAGTTACAATTTGTTATCTTAAAAAGAGGCTAGAAATAAGAATTATGGTACAAAAAAATTCTGATAGTGTAGTGGGTTATGAAAATCTGAAACTTTAAAACAGTTCATTTTAACACTTCATTAATTTAGCTTGACACTGAGAAACGGGAAATACATTTTAATGTACCCAATCACTATACCTTACATTTGTGTCCAGTGTTATTTGCCAAACATTAGTGGAAACTGGAAAATGAGCACTGTTGTTTATTCTTAAGCAGATTTTACAAAATAAAGGATAGGACATTCTTAACACTTCTTTTTATTGCCCGCTAATTCGAACACTGTTAGTCCCTGTTCTGTGTAGGGCATTTTGCTTGTTAACTTGGGATATACGGAAACAAGAGAATCTATCCCTGCTTCCCAGGACATCATAATTAGGGAAATTGCCCAAAAGGAACAGTGATTCGGGATGGAGAGGAAATGCTGAGTGGAAGATGAGAGGCGTGTTCTGCTGAGAGTATGTGAGATTTCCAAAGGTTTATTGGAAAATAGAAGTAAAAGGAATGGAAATTTCCCCTGAACTTTTTGAAGTCCCCTTTAATGGTTCGTAAGAGGCTCAAACAAGGATCTGTTAAGAAAATTATACACTTTATATTTACTCTTCTCTAAGGTCTCATCTAGCTCTGAAATCTTAAGTCTTTATAAAAATCTGCATGTTATTTAAGAGTCTGGGTGGAGCAAACATTAGGTGCTTGGCTAGTCTCTGAAAAGCTGCCAATCTGAACCTACACAGAGGCATCTCAGAAAGGCCTGGCAATTTGTTTCCCGCAGCCCACAGCCAGGAGAACCCTGGGGAGTGCAATTTGACTCTGCAACACAGAGGTCACCACCAGTTGGAATCAACTCGACGGCAAATGAATTGGTTTAGTTTATTTTTCATCAACACCTTGAAACCATCAACTGGTGAATGGGTTTTGTGGACTTCGGGGATGTCCAACCTCAACAGTGGCGTTATTGGACTGAGAATCCTAAACCCGAGCTTCTCAACCTTGGCATATTGACATTTTGGGCTGGTTGGTTCTTGGTTTTGGAGACCCATCCCTCGCCTCCACCCTACTGATGGCCAGTAGCATACCTGGCGGTATGAGTGATGGAGAAACCTCCCAAATGAGACCCTAAGTGTCTTCAGACATTGCCTAATGCCCTGTGGGGCCAACTCTCCCCATTGAGAACCATGGCCCTAGAACATAACTGCACGCTTTACAGTGCATCACAGCCACTAGAGGGGGTTGTGAAAACAGATGACTGGGTTCACTCCTCAAGTTTCTACTTCAGTAGGTTTGAGCTGGGGACTACCATTTTACCTTTCTGATAAGTCCCAAAGGAGTCCTGGTGGCATAATGGTTACACATTGGGCTGCTATTCTTAAGGTCAGCAGTTCAAAACCACCAGTCACTTGAGGGAGAAAGATGGAGCTTTCTCCTTCCATAAATAGTTATAGCCTCAGAAACTCATAGACAGTTCCACCCTGACCTGCAGGGTCACTATGAGTCAGCATCAACTTAATGACAGTGAGTTTGGCCTTTTTTTTTTTAACAAGTCCCAGCGTATGCTGGTGCTTCTGGTCCAGAGATCACGCTAAGAACCACTGACACACAGCACTGGCTCGCAACCAGGCTGATTGGGGATAGATAGCGGGGATGCCGCTCAACATCCTACAATGCGCAAGACAACCACCAGCCCCAAATCCAATAACGCCACTGTTGAGGAACCCTGACCTACAGTAAGAAGCCACTTCTTGATACAAATAATTGCAGATCACAGCCCCATTGGCTAGGCTGCTACCAAGACACCCATACTTGAAAGAGAAAAGGACAGAAAATAACAGCACATGTCAAAAAATAGTAACTCGGTTTGTGAAGCACTGAGGTAGACAGATACGTGGGTAGTCTTCAAGTAGAGGAAGACAGCTGATTCTCCTTAATCACGGCAGTGGTAGTTTATTAAGTCTTAGAACACACTGAATGAGCGAATACTAAGCCATTCCTCCTAAGAGAAACATAAGGTTAGGGGCCTGTGAAGCCCTGGCCATATATTATTAAAGACACTTTACTTAGTAGGTCACTTTAAGACCATTAAATGTATCTGTCAGAACCCATAAAACTTATCTAATGCATGGCATTTTCTCTGTAAGACAGTTACTTAGGTAAACTGGATAGCACATCAGCCCTAAGCTTGGGAGCATTTTAAATAGCGGCATCATCCCAAAAAGGCCAACACTAGGGAAAAGGTAGCACTAGGCAGACCACAGGAGCCCTGGTGGCATCGGTCAGCAGTCTGAACCCCCAGGCGCTCGGAGGGAGGAAAAGGAGGCTTTGTACTCCTGTCGAGTGTTGCTGTCCCAGAAACCCACAGGGGCAGTTCTGCGCTCTCCTAGAGGGTCTCTGTGAGTCGGAATGGGCTCAATGGCAGTGGTTTGGGGTTTAAACGCCAGACCACACAAAGCGTATCAAACAAGAAGGCCGAGCACTGTCTTGTTTGACCTCAGATGTCAGCAACTGAAATTTCCCCAGGCTCTGGGCATGCCTGCGCACAACTGTGAGAGCAATGACAAGCACCGAGTGTGGGTTAGGGAAAAGGCAACTTTGCAGATAGGCCATCTGTGGATCATAAGGATTGACTATAGATTAAAAACCCATCTGCAGAGTTGCAGTATTAAGAGTTGTTTGTTTTTTTCCCGCCCAGTAGTCAAAGAAGTATGGAGTGAAGGCAGAGAAACCAAGCCTCTCCAAGGGGTGTGTAGTAGACTGATTAAGGGCCCCCTCAGGTGTCCAGGCCTTAATTCTACAGAAAAGGAGGCTTTGTACCTGTTGAGAAGGTTATCCTAGATTACCTAGGTTGGCCTAACTGAAATCACACATTCCTTTCTAAGGGACAGAGGGTAATTTGAATACACTCACCCACTGCTGAAGCTTTCAATCCACAGTGACTCTGTAGGACAGAGTATAACTGCTCCATAGAATTTCCAGGGCCGTCAGAAGAAAGGCAATTGAACAAAGGGCAAAATGGAGGAAGAAAGAGGCTACACCAAGGAATGAAAACTGGCACCAAAAGTTAGAAAAGGAAAGGAAATGCGTATTGGATTCTCTGCTAAAACCTCCGGAGGGCGCACGACCCTGCCCACTTAGACCAAAGCATAAAAAAAACAAAACCCATCTGCCCTTTAAGTTGATTCCAACTGCTGGTAAGCCCCGTGTGCGTCAGAGTAGAACTGTGCTCCACAGGATTTTCAATGGCTGGTTTTTCAGAAGTGGATCACCAGGCCTTCCGAGATGCCTCTGGGGGATTCAAACCTCCACCCTTCTAGTTAGCAGCCAAGTCTGTTAACCTTTTACACTACAAAGCACTCCTGACTCTAGGCCAGTGAAACTGTGTTTGGGTTTCTGGCTTTCAGAGAATTAGATACGTGTTCTTTTAAGCCACTACTATTACGATGATTTGACAGAAAAATAATGCAGGTCTCAACCAAATTAAAGATAAGATAGTCATCTATCTTTGAGAGATTTTATTTGCCTTATAGCGTGACTTACTATGGTTGTTAATTAGAATTTAAGCCAATCGTGGGGCTTGAACAGTACGTCTGTCAATGGTGGTTCCTTCATCTGTGACCAGTCTGAAAAAATGTCGGATCAGGTCATAATCACAGATACAGAATCACCAACATTCAATGCTGGCTGGACCTTTGGATAGAAGAGTAAACATCTAAATGGAGATATTCACCATATTCTATCCCTCTAACTCAGTGGTTCTCAACCTTCCTAATGCCACGACCCTTTAATACACTTCTTCATGTTGTGGTGACCCCCCCAAACATAAAATTATTTTCGTTGCTACTTCATCACTGTAATTTTGATACTGTTAAGAATCGGGTGACCCCTGTGAAAGGGTCGTTCGACCTGCAAAGGCGTCGCGACCCACAGGTTGAGAACCGCTGCTCTAATACTCCTTCCTTCTAGGTATGAATGAAATGCCAGCATTTCTCCTAAGCTCCTAGCCTGCATTTCCGTTTGCCCCAGATCATCTGAAATTAATTAATTCAGCATCTCCAAAGTGAAATTCAACATCTTACCTCCCAAATGTGCTCTGTTCCCCTGTGCCCTATCTCCTTTAATGACATCTTTTACCTGCCAGTTGGCTATACCTAGCTATAATTCATTCCTTTTCACTGCCATATAGTATTCCAATGTGTGGCATACAATGTACGTATGCATCCAATTCTTAATGGACATTAGGGAGGTTTCCGTTCCTTTATTATAAGCAGGTTCTGTGCCCATCCCTGTAAGGAGGAGGTAGGAGCGGAAGTGATGGTTTTGAGGCTCTGTGTCTCACCAATTTTACTAGATAATGTCAAATTGTTTTCCAAAAAGATTGCAATATCCCTTCTCTTTTTATGGGCTTCATAGTTTTCCAGTTGGGTTGTAAGCCAATTAAAGCAAAGAACGTCTTAAATTTCTTGGCCTAGAAATAGTAGACATTCCGTAAATGTTTATTGATATGTTCATTAATTGATATAAGAAAATACATTAAAGTTTCCCCATCTTCAGAATACAAAAAAGTCAAAGGTGAGGATGGTTTTTTTAAGCAACTTTAGTGAAAAATTGAGAGAGAAAAAAATGAAACCCAAATGTCAATCCCTCTCAATACATTCTAGCAGATTTTAGATCGTGAAGGGGAAATCGTATCAGAAGAGGATACTGTTTCAGAAGAGCTCTAATAAGTATTGTGCCTCTTTTCTGCTGGGGAGCTCTCCCAATCTCTCAAGGTCTTCAGTATTTCAGGTGCTGTCAGCCGCCTTTTGGGCTCTGGTGAGAGTAGTTTTCGTAGAAGGCCTTTCTGTAATGATAGTAAAAATTGATTCTAAGAAATATAGCACCGAAGTGAAGAGAATTCTGATTACTTTCAAATGCATACTTACTTCCTTGTCATCAAATACATCTGGGAACACACCTTTCCTTAGATCATTAAAAATCTGAAAATAAACAAAGATATAGTAAATAGGCAAATATTATCTTGAGAGGAAAAGCAAACTTAGGAATCACTTGAGACTAGGGAATACCCTTAACTTCTGGCAGCTGTAGGAAATTCTCCACAGTTCAGAAGCAAGCAAGACTCTTTCCCCAGCCCACCTCACTCCCACCCCTGACATTACCAAGTGTTACCTGCATCTCAGGTATTTTCTCCCTTCATCCTTTTTGGAACTCTGCCCTATAGTCACTTCATCATTCCTACTTTACAGAGAAGGAGGCTGTTGACTCCAAGGGAATCCCCTTTCCTGGTTTCAGAGCTCCATCTCCAGTTACTTTCAGAGAGGAGCCATGGTGGAGAAATGGCTAAGAGCTCAGCTATTAACTCAAAGGTTGGTTGTTCAAACCCACCCTGCAACTGCTGCTGTAAAGATTACAGCCAAGAAAATCCTTGGGGGCAGCTCTGCTCTGTCACGGGGGTCACTAAGAGTTGGAAATGACCGCGCCTCCTAACAACAACACTGCTACTAATGGTTCCACAGTCCTACAAAAGACGATCTATATTCTTTCTCAAAGCTATAGATCTTAGAACATAGATTCTTTCTCTGTATGCTTTTGTCCCAGCCTGTCTTTCCAGCCCTCCTGACCACCATTCCCTTGTCCCTTATATGTTCCAACAAAATGACTGCCTGTTGTCTCCAAACATGCCCCGCGTGGTCCTCTCTGAATGTTAGCATCATCTTCCTCTGTTGGACGACTGGAAGTCCACTGATCCTTCAAAGCCCAGCTGAAATGACCTCCATGAAACCTAAATCCCTACAGCTGCCAAGATCTCTCCTCTAGCTGCTTCCAGAACACTTTGCATATTTCTTCCTCCCTAGGGAATATGCTCCTTGAGGACAAGCCTAAGACCCTTCTATACCTCAGTATTGTGTCTTACACAAAGCAAGCAACCACGGAAAGCTTCCTGGCTGACTTGAATAAGAAGGAACGGCTGTCGTTTTGTGAGTGGTAGACCCCTTGCAGAGAAGAGCCAAGGCTCTGGAGAAGTGCAGCATGCTCTGTCAAGTGGAGGGGCATCGAAAAAGAGGAAGGCCCGCCGAGAGCGAGCCGGTTGACACCCTGGCTGTAACAATGGGCTCAGGCAGAGGAGGAATCGTGAGGATGGCCAGGAGGGGCAGTGTTTCAGGATGATGTGCATACGGTTGCTATGGATCGGAACTGACTCGACTGCACCTGAGCACCACCACCACCAAAGGATTGCAGAGCTTGAACCAGACGAAACGCCTGTTTTATTTGCAGTTGGAAATGTCCAGGCCCGTCCTCATCCAAGGACAAGGACTCTCTGCTGTAGCACTTTGAAAATAAGGGTCAATCATTTCAGCTCCTTCGTTCTTTTTTTCAATTTATTTTGTTTGGTTTGGTCTTTTTTCTTTAATTGAGATTATTTACCTTGACTGTTTCCTGAATAGTAGGACATATATAAAGGATTTCAGCTAGAATTAATCCCAGGGCAAAGATGTCTACTTCATTTCCATATTGCTGTGATGAACTCTGCAGAGAGCAAAATATATTGACATTTGTTACTCACTCAATATAAATGCACATGCGTTCTGAAGCCAAAAATTATTTCACCGAAAAAAAAATTAAGTCCCACTACAATGCATGCCTATTAGCCGGAGCTGGGGAATCAGATGGCCCAAGTTCAAATCACAGCGTTGCCATTATTCAAGTTAGCTATTCATGTGGGAATGAGCTCAACTATAAAATGAAGATCACAATACTATGAACCGCAGGGTTTGTTGTGGGGCTTAGAGAGAGACGCAGCACTCAAGAACGCTAAAAACAGTGCCCAACTTGTCCCTGTCAAGTCAGTTGCCACTCACGGAGAGTGAGCTTGTCGGCCAGATTAGAACTGCCCCACCGAGTTTCCAAGGGTGGAATCTTCACAGAAGCAAATCGCCTCCTCTCTCCCATGCAGCATTAGACTGTGTGGATCGTACGCATGCAAGAAGAGCCAAGCACATTTTGGAATTGAAGATATTATAACCTACTTTATTCTGCCACAGTGATTAAAATAGTATGGGACTAAATGGGGAAAATAAAATAAATCCGTGGACTCCAGAAATAGGTCCATGTATGTGAGCAAGTTTTAATAGAGAACAAAATAGCATTTTAAACCACAGACTATTTAACACACGATGAGATAACTGTATATCCATCTGAGAAGAATCATGTTGTATATTCCTTCTTCATACCTATCAAGAACGAAATTCTAGTTAAACTAAACACTAGCAGAGAACACAAACTATTGGAAGTCTTGTGGTAGAAGTTGCCTGTAAAATGAAAACAAGAATCCAAGCAGTCATAAGTCTTTCTATGTGGATAAATGTGACCACTTGGAAACTTCTGTGCCTCGATGACATGAAATACCAAGAAGTAACAACCGGGGAGGAAATTCTGTAACAGTGTTAACACATACGGCATCAAACCCCAAAAGATACTCATACTTGCCGGGGGCTGTTAACCACAAGGTCAGCAGTTTAAACCCACTGCTCCCTCGGAGAAAGAGGAGGCGCACTACTTCCATAAGGGGTACAGTCTTGGAAACCCACAGGGGCAGTTCTACCTTGTCTTATAAAGTTGCTGAAAAAAGGTCTGGAAAAAGCAACATTTGGGAGCTGGTAATTCCAGCCTTTGAAATTCACTTCCACCTCTTACTTGCCAATTATTTTGAGCAAGTTATTGAATGTCCGCCCCGCCCCCCTCAATTTCTGCACTGGTAAAATGGAATATTAACACCTAACTTGAAGAATATTTACATGGATACAATAAAGTGTGTCAAGTACCCAGGAAAGTAGTATGGTGACAGGAAAGCTCTCTTGTGCAGATGAATGAAGAGCAGGTTGTTTGTGAGCTCCACCATCCACGGTGCTGGGGCAAAGAGGTTCTGTGACTCTCTTCCCAAACATCCAGACAAGCTGTCATCACAAAACCAGGTGGTTGTGTGAGCACACCAGGATTGTATAATGTTGGATGGGAACCAGTGCAATCAAACCTGCTGATTTTCTTCCTTACTATTATTTCATGTTTTTAACCACACAAGTTACATTTTTTTATTAAAGATTTAGAAATTGTAACTAAGCAGAAAGAAAATAAAATCAACTGTGCCTTAAAAAAAAAGAGTTGGTATCAACTCTATGACAGCGAGTGAATGAGAATTAAGCAAAAGCTATGAAGACAATTAGTAGGCAAAAATAGTACATAAATAGATGAAAAAAGAGCCCACTTCACTCAAAATCAGAAAAATGCAAACTAACCAGTAAGATAGTCATTCTTCAATTTTGTCGGATAAGATCCTAGTTGGATTGAGAATAGCACTTGCACTTTGGTGGGAGAATGTATGAGAATCACTTTTATTGGGAGGCCACTTGGCAGCATTTATCAAGTTTGAAATGTACTGGCCCTTCTCCTCAGTAATTTAAGACCATGGCTAAGAAAGAAGAATGTTTACTATAACAAGTGTATAAGTTTAAAAGGTGGAAATAACCTCAAAAATAAATTCCCCTCAATAAGAATGTGGTTAAAGAATTGATGGTAGGTCTGCAGTTTGGAATGCAATGCAGCGGATAAAAAGAATAGGCTCTTTGTAGGAATGATGGAAAGACTGCATTATAATAATGAGTGAAAGAAGTCACAAAATAAGATTGCAGTATTACAAAATGTGTGTATGTTTGTATTTTAAAATGTTTATGCACATATCTTTGTGGGTATGTTTGATGTATCATTCACAGAAAATGAGCCCAAAAGGGTAAACAACAAACTCGTAAGAAGAGTAAAAGTGGAGAGAAATGAGACATTTTCCACTTTTAGTCTATAGACATCTGCCCTCTCTAAATTTTATAAAATAAGAATTACTTGTTTTCATCATTAAAAAAAAACAACACTCCAAAATACACAGGGAAAAGGACGGGGCGGCACCTGCTCTGGGCTCATGTAACGGGGCGTTCCTCTCTCAGCCGTTCGCTGCTCATCGTGTTCCATGGATGTGACAAGTCCAAAGTCTCCGATCTTTATTTGATTTGTATGTACTAAAAATATGTTACCTGGCTAAGGAAAAACAAATATATTTATTGTATACATACCCATTTGACATACTTTCCTCATGTACCTGAATCACATTTAGCAACAACCTTTTTTCAATGAACTTACAAGTCAATTTCTCACTCTGTCTTCCTATTGAACCTGACACAGGCCTTCGGCCCAAGTCAGGGAATTTCAGATGATGGGTCTTTACAATGGCAGCTGAAGGAAGGGAGGAACTTCTTAGCTGACAGCAGACAAGGCTGCGGAGCAGAGCTACCTTCAAACTTCTAAAGAGCTGCCCAGGGGAAAGTGGATTGAATTTGTATGGCACCAGGCTATGGATCTGGGATTAAACCAAGCCAGCCAAATCCACTGCCGGTCTATGAGTTGATTCCAACTCACAGAGATCCTGTAAGAAGGAGGAGAACTGCTCCCTAAGGTTTCTGAGATGGTAAACTATTTGGGGAGGCCATATCCTCATCTTTCTCCTCCATTGTGCTACCGTGGCTGCTGACCCTGGTACACGAGGGGGGAAAAGCAGATTTGCTTTCACCTATCCTATTATTCTAGTAGAGACAGCTAGGGACCAATGATCAAATTGTCTCTTTACAGGGGACAAACCTGGGTTTGATTCCTGTATGTCAGTGGCAGGCGGCAAGCCTGCTGTTGGAAGCTGCATAGACTTCCTAGGTAACACAAATGGTAAATGTTCAACTACTAACTGAAAGGTTGATGGTTCAAAGCCACCCAGAGTTACCTCAGAAGACAGGCCTAGCAACTGTTTCTGAAAGGTCACAGCCTTAAAACTCCTAGGGGCAGTTCTACTCTGCACACATGGGATCGCTTTGAGTCTGAATCAACTAGCAAATATGCTGCTAAGCAGGGGCCTGTGGAGCTTCCAGACTACAGTGGACTAGGAACAAATGCCTGGCAATCTAGTTCTGAAAATGGCAAATGATCAGCCCATAGGTGACAATGGTCCGATCCACAACTGGTCGGCTTTCTGTTCCTTTGAGCATGGTGGACAGTGCCACAGACACTAACAACAACGGTGACACTCCACGAACAGTGTTTCAAAGCAGAGGGGTGAAAGAACTTCCCATCCCGGAAAGCACACAAGCTGAGGTTAGACCTTCATTCCCTTGGTGGAAATGCTGTCAGTGTGAGCCCAGGAGCTGACAGCTGGAGTAGAGACTCTCTGAACGGGTGTATTCCCAGCCGTGCTGCAGAATACCTTGTACAGACCTCCTGGGTGCTTCCGTTATTCCAAGTTCACCAGGCCTGTGACCGGGGAACATACACAAGCCCTCCCTGGAAGCTGATCACTAACACCAACATACTTTTTTCCATGTAATTATTTAGGAAGAAAAAGGAGGGGGGGCAGGAGGTGGATGAAGAGTTGATGTAATCAATATTGTCATCCTTGAAAAGACACCTTCAGTACAGTGCTGCGCCCCACACACACAGAGGTAATGGGATAACAATTGGGAGAAGATCTAGTAAAGAGACTAAAATCAAAGAGGGCACATGCCCAGAAAAGGCTGCAAAAGGCGCTTCCAAGAAGTCCGTTAACCTGACAGCAGAGGTAAACACTGCCATCCTGCAGTAACTCAGAGGGAGGAGTAGCTGCTTGGTTGACATGCAGGTTGCACAGGTGTTGGCAGCAGCGTGTGAGTCTACCCAGGAATATGCATATAGGTTTACAAAGGGTGTTTGTGCCTGTGTAATTTACCTTTGCTGAAAATATATGCATGAATGTGGTAGAGCACAGAAGGCAAGTTATGAAAGCTTCTTAGATATAAAACACCTTGAATGAGTCACTGGGCCTTGGGGCTCAGGACCATAGTCTTGGGGGGCACCCAGGTCAATTGGCAGAACACAGTTCACACAGACAATGTTCTACATCCTACTTGGGTGAGTAGCAGGTGGATCTTAAAGCTCATGAGTGCCTTCTAAGTTGCTGCTATTGGCTCCTCTCCATCTACAGCAGCAGTTCTCAACCTGTGGGTCGCGACCCCTTTGGGGGTTGAACAACCCTTTCACAGGTGTCACCCGATTCATAACTGTAGCAAAATGACAGTGATGAAGTAGCAATGAAAATAATTTTATGGTTGGGGGAGTCACCACAACATGAGGAACTGTATTAAACTGTAGCAAAATGACAGTGATGAAGTAGCAATGAAAATAATTTTATGGTTGGGGGAGTCACCACAACATGAGGAACTGTATTAAAGGGTCGCAGCATTAGGAAAGTTGAGAACCACTGATGTCGAGAAAAGAATAATTATGGACGGACACATGGAAACAATTAGTCCGGTTGACTAACGAGCCAAGCCGACATCTGCCTCAACAACTCTGAGACCAGAAGAAGGTGATGGGACCCACTAGTAACCCCTAACTGCTCTAAAGGTGGTCATATTAGGAAGTCCTGGACAAAGGGAGGGGCAGAACTGAACATCATAAAAGAGACCAGGTTTACTAGTTGGATAGATATTGGCGGAAGCTCCAAGATTCTGGCCCATAGCCACCTTTTAGGTCTGCAACTGAACCCACCACTGGGGCTCAATTTTCCATCAAACAGTGGACACGGGATGATATGGGAAACAGTAACAGCAGCCTGGTAAGCACACCTTAGAATTAAGAGGCAGCATTTCCCCAAGCACCATGTTCATGGGTTAGGAAAGAGGAAGGAATGGAAACAGGAAACAAAGAAGCAGCAGGATAAGGGCTGGGGCATCGAGGGGAACTGCGAAAACGGAAACAAAATGTGTATGAATCGCTGACTAAAACTGCCGACCTGCTCTGTAACCCTTCACCCAATTCACAATAAAAGGCTTAACAAGTGAATGGGGGGAAAAAAGAAGAAGAAAAAAAGTGCAGGGGGGCAGGGAGGGTTGTGAAGACATCAGCCTGAGAAGGCCCAGGTAGAAATTGGTAGTAAGATTAGGGTTCAGTTAGCAGAATGGATCCTGAAGCCATTGACACGGTGGGAAGGGTAGATGTGCACCAAGCCAGTCTGGAGAAAAGAAAACCATGTACTCTCTTACAGGGGAGGAGTAAGTTAGGCTTGCACTTGACAATGCTAGTCCCATCGAAAGACCTAGACTGACAAACAGGAGGTTGAACTGATGTCTAAGTATCTCAGCAGGCAAAGATGGCACGACGTTGTCTCACCTATCTTTGGACATGTTTTTAGGAGACTGGTCCCTGGAGAAGGACATCATGCTTGACAGAGTAGAGGGGCAGCAAAGAAAAAAAAGAAAGACCCGCGACAAGATGGATTGACACAATGGCCGCAACAATAGACTCAAACCGAAGGACCCTTGTGAAGATAACCCGGGACCGGGCAGCGCTTCGTTCTACTGTCGGAATCGGCTCGATGGCCCCTAGCAACAGGTATATAAGCTGGACAAGACTTTAGTGAAAACATCAGGTCACTGGTTTGCAGTCCATAAACATTTCTTTAAATTTTAGTATCACCTTTTGACTCAGCAGTTATAATTAGGTAAACTATGTGGCTGCAGAGCACTAACAATGGGTGCGAACTTTACACAGGAGACACAAAGACAAGGGCTGATCCTCAAAACTGAAACTGAAGTCGACCAAGGGACCTGGGCCTCTTAGAAAATGGAACCTCCAACAGAGAAGCAGCTACACACAGAAAGCACTCACGCCAGAAGCCCCTGTGTCCACGTCGCTCACCAGTACCCTGGGTCAAGTTCTTAATAATCTAACATCAAGAGGTAAACACATTATATTAAAAAAAAACATTACCATTGAGGCAATTGTGACGCATAGTCACCCTATGACCTGTCTTAGGTTCAGAACTACTATGTACATGGGAGGGGTTTTTTTAACCTCAAGGAACTATTTTGCTTCATTTCTCACACCTGGCTGTTTTAGACAGGAGAGATAAAGAGATAGCCAGGAGGCATAAAAATGAGATGCTTCTGCCTAGTGGAGAAATAGGCAGCTCTAGAGTGATCAGGCCAGGCTCGCAAAGGAAGCGGTGGCCAGAGGAGCCAGGTGGCTGAGTGGTCCGTGGAAGAAGAGCACAAGCCATTCGTGGTTCAGGGATCGGAGTTCACCTGGCCAGTTTGTGATGGGAGTTGGGTAAACCGCAAACTAGCCAGGAGCGTGGATGGGAGACTATGAAAAGCCGCTTTGTCTCTCTTCTTTCCTTTCGACGAGAAGACAAAATGAGAAACTGTTCAGTCAGACCATGAAAGAAAATAGGAAACCCACAGAAATGAAACCGCAGCGGTTCTCAACCCGTGGGTCGCGACCCCTTTGGGGGTTGAACAACCCTTTCTCAGGGGTTGCCCGATTCCTAACAGTAGTAAAATGACAGTAATGAAGTAGCAAGGAAAATAATGTTATGATTGGTGGGTCACCACCACATGAGGAACTGTATTAAAGGGTCGGAGCCTTAGGAAGATTGAGAACCACTGCGCTAACGGATGACACAATGTTCTAAGTTTCGGATTACTGAGACTTTCCAATCATGAAGCAGAGAGATCTAAGAAGATACTAGACCCTGGCCACCGTAGCAGTGACTGCGCTCAAGAATAATGGCTGAGAGGTTGGGAGATTCATGTTCCCAAATCCAAAGGCAAATTCAAGTGGCTGCAGAGGTCAGGATGCAGAAGCCTGTTGGCTGTGCCAGCCATAATGTGTTCAGGATTCTAAATCTCTACTCAATGTGTTCAGGGTTCTAAAGCAGCTCTACGTATTTGCAGCTGGGCTCTGATGATCCCACTCAAGGGAAACATGGTCAAATGCGTCTTCTTGTAGGGCTCGCTAGCCCAGGAGACCGTCAGAGTGCTTCTATGGAATGGGATTTGGGGCAAGTTCTAGACCCATTCTAACCTCAGAAATACTACTTCCGGGCGATCAATCCTTTCTAAACCCTAAAACTAGAGAAGGGAGGGATTCAATTATGCACAGTGTAATGCACAATGAGCTTTAGCCAATGAATTTGGCATTTGCCTTTGGTTCCTGAGAGATAACATCTACATACCCTGAGACTTTCTCTCGAGAGAATAGAACCTGTTATGCTCACAATCCACACTACATATATAAGCATCTCTGTCATTTTTGTGATCATAAAACAGTATTTGTAAGTATAGGGCTTTCCTGCATTTGTGCGTTGTTTTAGTGAATTACTGAGCCAGGGGCAGGGACCCCCCAGTTTTGTAGCTAGCAGGTCAGAAGTGAGGGGGCACCTGGGATCTCCCCAAGTCTGGCTGACATCTGAAGCCTGAATTAGCTACTAAAGGACTGTACTCTTAAGCTTCTGGGATCTGACCCGGCTCTGCTGGTTAGGGTCAGTGGAAGAAGAAGTGTATTTGAATATTTAGATTTAAAGTTAGGTAGTGTACACCAGAGAAGGCACCCACACAGACACCAACACACAGACTACAGTTAAGAAATCACATTCTTAAACTCCTAGCCAAGTACAGTTCCCATTTACCTTAAGGTCTCGATGAATTAACTGCTTTGAATGTATATAATTCACTCCTCTTGTTATTTGTTCAAATAAGTTCAAAACCAAATCTTTGTCCGATTTCTTGCCTCTTTTGTCATTAATCCACTGCTCCAATGTCCCTTTATCACAGTATTCCATTTGGATAAAAAGGCACTTGGTCTTCGACCTGGATATAAAAATCACAATATGTTAAAAATAGCAGTAAAAAAATTATAAAACATATGTGCGCTCTTTTATTAAATTATGCCTTATCATCTTACAAGCTGAAAACATGTGTCAAAATAGAAATCTACATATAATACACTTATACTTATCAAAGTATACTAAGCCATTTTTAATTAAATGGGGAGAAGTCAGAAATCCAAAGCTGTCACTGTTGTTGGGTGCTATCAAGTAGGTTCGGACTCACTGAGACCCAATGTCAAAGAGAAAGAAACGCCGCCGGCCCTGAGCCATCCTCACAATTGTTCTTGTGCTTTAGCCCATTGTTACAGCTGCTGGTCAAACCATCTTGAGGGCCTTCCTCTTTTCACTGGCCCTTTCCTTTACCAAGTGGGATGTCCTTCTCCAAGGACTGGTCTCTCCTGACAACATGTCCAACGTCTGTGAGATGGAGTCTTGCCATCCTTGCTTTAAGGAGCACGCCTGCTGCACTTCTTCTGAGACAGACTTGTTTCTTCTTTTGGCCACTCATGGGAGTTTCTATATTCTTCTCCAGCACCATAATTCCAATGCCGTGATTCTCCTTCCGTCTTGCTTATTCAATGTTCAACTTTCACAAGCATCTGAGGCAATTGACAACACCGTGGCTAGGTGCACCTTTGTTCCCAGAGTAACATCCTTGCTTTTCAACACTTTGCAACACTATTTGCTTAGGTCAGTTATAAAGTACCAACCTGTCCACAATTAGATGCCAAAGGTCCTTGGTGACCTTTTCGCTTCATATTTATTTTCCATTTACCTTATAGTCTCTATGAATGAACTATTTTGAATGTACATACTCTACTCCTGTG